CATAGATACCTCCTTCTTCACGAACTCCCTTCTCTCGGCCGAGAGGGGTCTTCTCCGCTGTTGTACTGGTTTGACCGAAGGGTCCACCGCTAGGCGGTGGGTGATAACCCTTCGGTCAATTCCTGGCATATCCTCCGGCCCCCATGCAAAAACAATGGAGTAGGCGCGGAGGGCTTTGGTGATGCCAGCCTTTAAGTCTTCGGGGAGCTTGGCTCCAATCTTCAGGACTCTCTCCGGCTTGGCCAGATCAAGTATCAAATCTTCAGTCTCCTCGGCGGGCTCAGCCCTTGGTCTACCTTCTTCCTCTTCCAGGGCCTTGGTGGTGATGGTGTCAACCCGAAATTCAGTTTTACTAACCTTCTTGGTAAGTTGAAGGTAGCAGGCCCTGGAGAGTTTCTGATTTCCCCTCGAGTAGCCGATGCCGGTGGGTGTGGGGAACTTGAGGCAGAGATGCCTCATGGAGATGACAGCCTCCAAATCTTCGAGGGCAGGCCGGCCGAGGATGATGTTATGCGCACAGTCGATGTTGACGACGACGAATTCCACTTCGAGCTTGGCTCTATGGGATCCGTCGCCGAATTCAACCACGAGGGTGATGACGCCCTCGGCGTCTATGCTGTCCCCCGTAAATCCGGAGAGGGGGGTGTTGATGTGTCGGAGGGACCCCCTGTCGAGTCCCAACTCTTGAAAAGTACTAAGGTACATGACGTTGACAGAACTCCCTGTGTCAACGTAAGTCCGGAGGATGATGGCGTCATTGATCTCAGTGCGGATGACGAGGGCATCCCTATGCGGTAGAGAACCCGAGGGGAGGTCCGCATCTGTGAAGAAGATGGGATCCGCCCTCGGCCTTTTAGTTGGGGGCGTGTGATTGACTTCCCCAATGTAAAGGGACTGCGCCCACTTCTTCCTTTGGCTTATTGAATCGCCTCCGGTGTTGCCGCCGTTGATCATATGTACATGGCGCTTGTAATGTTGATGGGAGCCTTCTCCCTCGTCCTCGAGGCCCCCAATTTCACGCTTCTTCCCCTGTGGGTTTCCCAAAGGGATGGTGTTGGGGTTCACCCACTTGTTTGCCTTCGGTGGAGGGCCTTGATGATGAGGGGGGCCCTGGGGAGGAGGGCCCCTGATGAATTGAGACAAGTGGCCTGCCTGTATCAGCCTTTCAATGGCGTTTTTCAGCTGATGGCATTCGTCGGTCTTGTGTCCGTGGTGGCGGTGAAAGCGGCAATATGGCTCATCAGGGCCGATAGCATAAATCTCGAGGGGTGTACGGGAGTCTCGCTCAACGAGCCCCCGCTCTTCTGCATGATCAAGAATGACGCTGACGGGATGCGTCAAGGGGGTGCGTGGGTGCTCAAGGAGGACGAGTTGCGCCCATGCCTTCGGATTATTTTTATAACCGCCCCCGGGTCTGGCTTGGCCACCTCGGGGGCGATCATTGTAATGTGCCTCTCGGTTCGCCGGAGGGGGAGGCCCTCCGGGCCGATTCCTGCCTTCGTTCTTCTGAGAAGGATCCATGTTGCGGCGGTCCTTCTCGATTTCCTCTGCTTCGGCATATCGGTCCCCCCGCTGAAGGGCCTTCGTATAATCGCGGGGAGGATCAGTGATAAGGCTCCGGGAGAAGTTACCGTTGCGGAGGACGGTGTGGAAGAGGGCCATCGGGGTTCTGTCATCGGCGCCTTCGACCTCGAGGGAGGCCTGCCTCCAGCGTTCTAGGAAACTTCGAAGGGTTTCCTCCTTCTGTTGTCTCACGTTTAGAAGGTGGGAGAAATGTTTCTTTGAGCGGTGCCTCCCGGCAAATTGTGTAAGGAAGCGGTGGGCAAGTTCTTGCCAAGAATCAATGCTGCCCTCGGGCAACCGGTTGAACCACTCATATGCTGGTCCCTCCAAGGTGGAAAGGAACCAACGGCATAAGTATTCATCCGAGGCCCCCATCATCATCATGCTATTTTGATAGCGGCTATAGTGTTCTTGGGGATCTGTCTTCCCCTCGTATGGCTTGATAGGTTGCCCTCGATATTTGTGGGGGATTTTGGCCGCCAGCACCCTCGGGGTGAAAGGCGTCCTGGTGCGGAGCTGAATGAGGGGCTCGTGTGAGCCTTCGGCAAGCTTACGCTTCATTTCCTCCACTTGCGCCCGGAGGTCAGCGTACTCTGGATCTGGCCTCGCTGTGGAAGCCGTCGGGGGCGCCTGACGGTTCTCCTCGAGTTGACGGAGGAGGGCTTCAATGATCTCGTCCTTGGGATCCTTCGGGGCAACCCCCTGGGAGTTGGCCCGGAAGGATTGCGCCTGATTGATTTGGTGCCTGGCGTCATCGGCATGGAGGAGGGCTTTGCCTTTGCTTCGGGGGGGGGGGGGGAGGCACGCCCTCGGCCCCCGAAGCGGAGGCACCACTCTCCTGGGGCCTGCTGAATTCTTGCCTGCCGAGGCGGTCTTGGACCCCTCGGCGTCCGGGAGCTCCCCCAAGCCTCTCAAGTGCGGAGGTCCGGGGTTTCTCCTTCATCATGGGGCGCTTATCCCTGGATTGAGCCTCCTGGGAGGCGGTATCCTGTGCTATGACCCCCTCAGCATTGCCAACCCCCGGGGGAGGGTTGTTGAACAAAGGAGGGAGTGGTGGTAGGTTGATAACATTCCCTCCAGCGTAGGGCTGAAGGGGTGCCTGAGAGGCGAGAGCTCCGGAATTGAGAGCCATGTTTTGAACAAAGGCCGCAAAGGCAGTCTGAAGATCGATGGCCGAGGCCGGAGGGGGAACTTGGTTCTCACTCCGATCCCTCCTTCGATTATCAAGGCCAATGCGGGCATCAGGGGCATTCTTCTGTAGCTGCTGACGGAGGTCAGCAGTAGTCTGCTCCAACTCGAGAATGATTCCGCCCTCGGGCACTAAGAGCCTGTTAGAGGTCTCAGCCCCGTTGGTTTCGCCGGGGGCTACGTGGTTCTCCTCAAGGGTTTTTGACTGGGCACGAGTGGTTCTTCCCATTCTTGGTAAGTGTTTCGTATTTGGTAGAGGGGGAGGGTTTCTTACTTGATTGTTCTGACCTCTCAACGAGAGCACCAAATGATGGATAGTCTACCCGGGGGGTATCTTATCCGAGGGGTTATTGCGGGAATAACTAGAGAGAGGTCAGAGCAAAATAGGAGGAGAGAGAGTCGATTTATTAAATGAACTCAGCGTGTGGAGTTGGGATGTAGATCATGATTTACAAGGAGAAATGGGCTGCTATTTATAGCAGCAATAAATGCGATGAGAGTACACGTGTCAGTAATCCAACGGCCGGAGGGTCACATCAGCCGGTTGGCACCGGCAGCGGTACGTTTACCGCATTAAATGCGGTTGGCGGATGTGACGTGGTATTAAATGCGGTGGTTGGCTGTCCCCAAAAGGAATCTTTGATGATTGAGCTAGTTCAGCCGAAGGCTCCTTATGTAGTCGAGGGCTCCATGTGGCAAGGACCCCTGTGTGGCCGAAGGCCCCGTGTGGCCGAAGGCTTTTCTGATGCCGAGGGCTTGAAATGCCGAAGGCTCATGTTTTCGCCATTTTCTCCCAGCAGCTTCTTATGCCAAAAAGGCTATCCTGTGAGTTCTGGAGCCTTCGTCCAAGGAGGCCGAAGGCACCCCAGTATGTATTTTGGGCTATTTTGGGGCTTGGGCCGTTGCATTTGGGCCTGAGTTGTTCTCTGGGCTCATTGGATATGTGTAGGAGAAGTAGGAGTCTATGGGCCGGGGGTTCTTGGGCCATATACTCCATCAACTATATAGGTAAAACTATTAAATAAGCTCCATTACTATACCAAAAAAGTCCATTAGGCCCTCGTACTTTACAAACACTCAATTAAGCCCTCAAACTATTAAAAAATGTTCAATTAAGCCCTTTCGATCGGTAAGTAACCGGTTAAATGTAACTCGTTTCTCGGCAGCCGCCGTTGCTGGGGTTCGAGCACATCGTCGTCGCCGTCGCCGTTTAACCGGAAACCGGTAACCTATCGACCAAAAGGGCTTAATTGAGCGTTTTTTAATAGTTCGAGGACTTAATTGAGTGTTTGTAAAGTACGAGGGCCTAATCGACTTTTTCGGCATAGTACAGAAGCTTATTTGATAGTTTTTCCTAGTATATACTCTTTCCGTCCCAAAATATACTTCGCACTTTAACTTGTCACACTTATTAAGAAAGCGAGAGTAAGTAGAAATATATGTTTGTGGTTAAATAAGAAAAATATAAAAAATGTTAGATACACAAAACTTTCCAAAACTGATATATGGAAAATTGTTTTCAAAATTCCCAAAATGATAAGTTGGAAGAATTTTATAGGACAAAAAGACTAAAAAGAAATTTTTGTGCATTAAACTCCTGTTATGCTCCCGGAAGACAATGTGTAAGAAAGTCGGTTGCCAACTGCCACGTTGCAAATTGAGTTGCTGCTTCGTGTTCTAGCAATCCTATCCTGCTCCGCTTAATAGTCAGCTTTGCCTAATACGGAGCATCCGCATTATGCTCCGTAGTCCGTATTCCTTTCTTCTGCATTAAGTTCCTTTGACTTGAGAGTAAATGTAACAGGAAAAATTTACATTCTTTCTTAAATAAATGTAATAGGTTAAAATTTATATTATTCACATATTTTATTTTGAGTATGCTTTATATATTAATGTATTAATAAATTGCTTTTTTAAAAATATTTTTAAATTTAGCCCATTGTAAATTTTGAATATCTTATTTTTTCTTTAATTTTTTATTAATAGGGAAATTGTCAAAATTATGCATTGACAAACATGAAAAATTAGCTATTGCACTCATTTAAGAACAGATAAAATATTTACTTTTAGAATTATTTTATATTATTTTAATCCTTTTTTATACTCCTGTATAAAATAAATAAACATTATTACAATTACAATTCATAGTCCATTACACAGACACGTACTCGTACTACCTTTAATACTGAAATAATCAGCCACACATCATTTTCACGCCTCATTCAACTTTATGCTCTAATTTTCATTTTCAATCTCTTCTTTAGGAAACTAAAGCAATAAATAAATGTGTATAATAATCCACTCAACAGCGTATAATAATACGTAGTACTCAAAGGATCCGTTTTCTCTCCCCCTGTTTGGATTCAAACCGACTCAAAGCGCATTCGCGAAGAAATCATCCACAGCTTCAATTCATCGGAAATGTCGTCTACTCCGGTGCCTCCCAGCTCCGCTTACCTCACAGCTCTCACCATGGAAATCGAGAAGAAGCTTCATCGAGTATGCGTCTGTTTATTCATAGCCATTTTTACATGGACAAATTATAGTATGCGTCTATACGATGTGCTTCAAATCCATCGTTTTACACCTTCCGTTTTCCTCTCTTGTTAAGGAGGCGGTAAAGGTATCTGCATAAGCTGATGTGGGTTTTGTTACAGGCAGTGACTATGCCGACTCAGAGGCTTGATTCATTGCAAGAGCTATTTGCTGACATAGCTTTGGAAGTTGATGATCGAGCAAGAGGTCACTTCAAACACTTGTTGGGTTTATATTCGTGTACATTTTGCAATCGGTTTCACTTTTTATCTCATTATCTGTACTATGTTGCGTAGCATGTTGAGACTGTTAATCCCTAATTCCGTTGGACTTTAATGTGAAGACTGAAGAACATGCTCGGCCGACGTTTTAGATGACATTGGAAATGGACTTTTGATTTTTTTTCTTCTTCTAAAACTAAGATTTCTAGAGAAAAATGAACATTTTATACCCTGAATCAAGAAAGTTTACATAATCGTGTAAGTGTGCAACTCTTTACCAGTGGCGTCCTATGTGTCTTTTCTATTTACTCCCTGCTGCGGTTAGATATTGCAAAAAATGGATAAACAAACCATGCAAAGTAGTTTCATTCAGAAAAAAATAGGCCTTTTTTATGTAGTTTGGATGATAAAAAGACCATAGTAGTTGCTTTGAATTTACCCCTTTTTACTGTAACATTTATTGGTGAATTAATACCCATGTATGATGTACTTCATTTATTACCTTTTGTTTTTCTTAACTCTGCCACCATCCCAATTCCACTAAGACTGCTACACACACTGACTTGCAATGGCACTATGGCATAACTTTGTGATGGTAATCTAGTTTTAGGTTTCGTAATTCAGTCCTTTACTTCTGACCTGGGTTTGGTTTAATGGAATGTGATCCGGTGCCCTAGGCTCATTGGCTTTACAAAATTATAAAGGATGATGATCTCGTGCTCCGTTTTCTTTTAAAGCTCTTTTTTTACTATATGCTTCTTTAAGGCATTAAATCACTAATACTTTTTACGGAGTAGTTTTTATTTACCACACATAGTAATTGTTATTACTCTCAATTCATACAAATTTGGTCAGCAATTGTTACTTCTGACGTATTTAAATCTACGACTCTAATGCTGATTATTTATGTTTAAATTGAACCAATCCTTTTATAAGTTTAAATAATTTATGTTTGAATTGAACAGACATAATTTTCAGCAGTGAAAGTGCAATATCTGCAGCTGAGGAAAGGACTAAAGGCCCAATTTGCTACTTCAATGTGCTTGCTGACCATTTTGTTCGTGTTCACCACAGCGGAAAACCAATCCTTAATCTAATTGTTCAGCTATGGAGCCAGTCCTTTGCTTGTCACATATTTTCTCTCTTGTTTCACAAATGGGTATGTGAGTTTAAATTTTACTCCGAACTTGGTGTCTTGGAATATCATGTTCTATTATTATTATGAATCATGTGTGCTATTACAAACCTCACTCCAGTATGCCATTCTTCTTATTGACATCCGCCATTTGTTCATTTTTGTAGCTTTTTGAGGTTGAGCTAGACAATTCTGAATCATTGATTCGGTACTCTTCTGCGCTTGTTCAAGGTGCAACCAATGTATTCTGGTATGGATTTTGGTTATCTTCATTTTGTATTCTGGTATTCTGCGCTTGTTATCATATATATGTATCATTCAGCTGGAAAGATGCAAAGTGTGTGAAGTATTTTGCTGTGCTACCTTTTACAGGATTGATGTTCAATCAAACACGAAATGCTTTCAGAGTCTCTTTATGGTGAGATACAGTCACATATGTAAAGATATTTTTTCCAAAAGAACTATATATAATATTTTAACAGTTTTTCATCCAATAAACGCGCTGAATTGAAGTATCTGATTGAGGAAGTTTCGCTTGTTCCAGAACGGTTAAAGAAGATACCGTTGCAGGTCTGACATTCATTCAATTCGTCCTGCCAAGCTTTAGTCTGTTATAGTAATTAGGCATGCCTAAGGTTCTCATTCCTATCACTAAATATTATCTTATTTCCTTTCCCCTACCCCAAAACAGGCGCAACGGGATTTGTTCCTCCTCCTTTCACGCTTCATATTCTTTTACGGCTTAGGTGAGCAGATTTGAGAAATACGCAACAGATGTTGAACTTGGATTTATTTTTATATGTGCTGACATGCATTTTGTTTCAGTTGACAAACTAGAAAGCTTCTTTAACCAATTTCCTGATTTTCCGAATGCTCTCTTTGTTGGTGGTCCAGCTGATTTTTTTGTTACTGAATTAGCTGATCAGGTAAGAAAAATGATGCTCCCTCTGTCCCAATAAAAGAGTCCGCTTTAAAAACTTCCGAGTGTCCCTTAACAAAAAGGAGTTAGTATTTGACAATTTACTTTCAATGTATTTAATTTATTGTATCGTGTTCCAAAAGAAGTCTTAGAGATGGTTAAATTCGCTAAATTTAGTTAAACCAACAAACAAATTTTAAAATATATCTAAAATTAATGAAAGTATGTTAGATATGTTTAGTTTTAGCTAAACCAACAAATAAATCTACAAATGTAGCCAAGGTTGATGATTTCCATTAGTTGTACCTTACTAAAATAAAAAGTTGTACCTTGGTGAAACATAATCCTTTTAGTAGGCAGATGGTGTACTATATGTAGCTTCAAGTCAACTTACATTTTATTAACCTGTTTCTTTTCTACTCCTTTTCTATTTTATCAGCTTCAGAAACTGAAAGTTGAGCCAGTACTACTGCATTACCTTTCCCAGATGAAAGTTCTTAGAGGTAAGGTGCAGCTGGATAGATCACTATGATAAAATGCTTATTAGTTGCAATTGTTTAAGGAGCTTCCTGTGCTTTACATACAGGGTTAGAATTGAGAATGACAACAAGTACAAGGCTTAGGACTTGCTTGTATAGCTTCACAAGCCCAGGTGCTCCTATGTATCCAACAAGAGCAGTCCGCCATGCCACGTGGGAGGCATTAGATTTTCTTTTTCCGGTTAGTGATCTTATTTCCAGTGATTTGTGGGTTTTGGATAGCTTATTTGTCCATTTGGGGTGGCTTATTAAAAACACTTCTCTAAATAAGTATGCGGTACCTTTCTAGAAAACACCAAGTCAGTGCTTTTCTCTTGAGGAAAGTGTTTTTAACCCTATGAAAATGTAACATAATATAATGTAATGGGTTCTAATTCAATAATTTAAAGTAATAACATATGCCTTTGAAGTATTCGAAAGATACTTTTTTCGGTTTAAAAAATCATCACACAAATAGGCTATTTGTAGGAATTGTTGTCATATTACTAATTTATTAGTTCCTCCGTCCCAAATTGTGCTGTTTTTTGAAGTTAAAACTAGTAGATAATGGAAAGTATAACTCTTGTAAATCATCCATCCTACTTACCATTTTAACTTTCTTTGTTAAATGGAATTTGACATACTTAACTTGTTAGTAGCAGTGATTTTGGATAAATGTCATTAAATTCTATAGAAATTAGTTATATTTTGTTGTTGCAAGTTGAAACAAGTTACAAAAATCAGTTTTGATCATTTTGTCTATGTTGATTCATGTTAGCCGACCCCAAACTCTTTTTGGTATTAAGGCTTGTATGTTGTTGTTGATTGATGGAATGTGCACTGATACTTCTATTGCTTGCCGCATCAGATACCCAGATGATTAAAATTGAATAAAAATCACTCCGTACGTATTAAGTGCATCTATCCTTACCACATATGTTCCGCTTGTACATATATCAAGAAAGTATGTGTCTTTACAGAGAAGGCTAATGGCTTGACTCCACATAATGAGCTGTCTTTGGAAACTTCTCTTCCGTTACTTTTTTCCCCTTTCCCTCCCATTTTACTAGTTCCAAATATAGCTTAAAGAGTTCATAGAATGGCACCAAGATAAAGAAAATATTTGGATATATGGGTGCTATTGGTTTTATAGAATTGAAATATTTGAATAAAGATCTAAACTTGTTTTATTGTGTTTGAATCAATCTTTATATTTGCTACCACCCTCTTCTTCCGTAAAACTTCTGGCCGAAGTGCCAGGGAGGTCCTTCTGCTCTACTTACTACTCCCTCCGTCCCCCTAAGTTTGTCCCGTTTTACCTTTTTCGTTCGTCCCACTAAGTTTGTCCCATACCATATTTGGTAACATTTGAGTGGTTAGAATTCATTCTTACTTAATTCACACTTTATCAATTCAATACCAATCACACAATTCCACTTTTTCTTAAAAACCACACCACACCCCTCCGTCCCAAACTTAGGGGGACGGAGGGAGTACTATTTTTTACGAACTGTTAATTATCTTCATTAGTGTTTTTATTATGTGGCGGTGATGTCACGTATGACACTGATGTGCTGATTTGACATTATTTATTTCAAACTTTTAATTTATTGAAAAATCAGCCTATATGTTCGTTATGGTATGGTGGCGTGACATAAATAATGTCACTGCCACATAATCAGAGTGGTAAAATGCTCATTTACCCCCCCCCCCCCCCCCCCGCCCCATGAAGAGTGTTCAATATTAATTACTAGTTTTCTTTAGCTCACTTGGAAAGTCAATAAAAAAAAGTTATTTTGCCTAAACAACTGTAAAGTTAAACTAGGAAATTAGGTGTCAAGTATTTAAGTATCTTTTTTGCAAAGACATGTGATAAGTCATGTCACCGCCACAGTAAAAAATGGTGGTTATGATCATCCCTGGTTAAACTGAATTACCCCGTATATATTACAGGGACTAAATTTAACACAGTTGGACTGTTGGAGTAAAAGGATTAATTTGAACAAAGTGAGATAGTAGAGGGGTCAAGTACTATATTCATTATATTGCCCTCCCTAGCATTTCCCAAGTTCCAAACGGACCCTTAGAGTCTGGAGTTTATTCCTTGAATGACAGTATTTAAATACTATGGCCTGTTTACAAATGCTATGTGTATGGTTGAATTTACTGAATTTTTCGAAAGAGAAAAGCAAATAGGAGATAAGCGTATTTTTCTAATAAGCAAATTAATTCATTAATACTACGAGTACCAAATAGGAGCTAAGCTTCCCCTCTAAATTACTTAATGAGCTTTTTTTGTGCCAGGTCGGTCGGTATCCACGGCACCTGATAAGCATATTCTTTCGGTTGCTACACCCATGGTACTGGCCCTCCTCTTTTTGGAACTTCATAAAGTCGTGTATTTTAGCAGTGTTATATTTGGTATCAAGTTTTGTTTTCTCTAGTTGGGATAAGCTAGCAAAATTTAAAGAATGATAGACTGGGGCAAACTGCTCAGCTGTTGTAAATCTGTAAATGTGTATCTCATAGTCAGAGTTTCAAGAAAGAGTTACAGATTCAACCTCCACATTCCACCCACAGCTCGTCTAAACGTGATAAAATATAGCCAAGAGTAAATCCAACTTGATAATAAGAATGAACACTCGATCTTGCATGTTGGTTTCTTATTTCATACTCCGTGTTTCGTTTAAAGAGTGTGAAACCAGGGTCACCATACTATAAAATTGAATATTCTGCATTAAGTTTCGTTTATCCATCGATTTACACTAATATAATAACTGAACGCCTAAACGTGCATGAATGATGAACAAATGTGGAAAGTTGCATGTTTGCATTGGAGGTTAGTGTCGTGATTCACTTGGAGTATGTCAACTGGATATCTGTATAGTCTTAATTGTAAGCGGTATATAGTACATGTGGACTCCATCGCTTTCTGTTGTGTGGATTGTCACACTGAAATTGTAACGTTTTGGGCTTTAAACACTGGACTAGTATGATGTGAAGAGTGGACTAGTGGAGGGTGGATGGAATAGATCAATTTCTATGTCCAAAATGTATTGCCATTAATGTGTATTTGTACGAAGTATTTTTTATGTGTATTTTGTACATCACAACTTCACAAGTGTTTGTGGATGAGAACAACATGTGCATTAATAGAACATTGGCAACTCTAAAATGCTTACGAGTCCGCTTGAATTTGTATCATAAACGGGTGCACATTTTATATTTTGACCTCATATTTTTATGAAGATGCATCCCATTCATCCACATTTGCGTAAGAAAAACCACGATCTACGTAGTTCATCATTAGAAGTATTGTTTCACTGAAACATCTCTCCCTCTCTATCTCTCTAAGAGCATCTCCAATGCTACAATGTGTACGATGCACATGTGACATGAGAGATAGCCACATAAATATTATTAAATAAATTATTTATTTCCTTACTTGAATGCTTTTATACATTTTGGTATGTTTTTCTTAACAATGTCAACCACAATGTCTACATCTAGACGATCTTTTTGACATTGCAGAGAAAAACTTACCAAAATTGTATAAAACTATTCAAATCAGGAGAGAGATAATTTATTTACTAATATTTATGTAGCTACTTTTAATGCCACATGTGCACCGTGCACATTATACCATTGGAGATGCTCTAAGAGTCTAACACATACACACAATACATGCAATGGTAGATGTGTATATGCAACGTGGTGCGACTGTATGAGTTGCAATTTATAGACTTGCAGTTATGCCTTGCTATTTGATTGGGATGATAGACATTATCTATCGATTCCATCATATAAAGAGGTATGAGCTGCAAATCTGCAATTTAATGGAAAAGTTACAAAGGGAATTTAAGTTCTAAATAAGAATTTTAGTTCTAAACAATAATTTTAGCATAATTGTGACGACTCCAGCAAAGTGCAAATCAAGGAATTTCCTAGGGCTGGACATAGTTTGGTTTTGGACTGGTTCCGGTCCTGGACTTGCCAGTCCTTGGAGTAGAATGAGGCTCGGGGTCGGGACTTATATTTTTTCATTTTGGTCCTCCTAACCCTTATTCAGATTTTAAATGTACCGGTCCTTTTTAAAATATCTCCCAATGGAATCCCAATTTTTAAAATTACAAAAAAATGGATCTGGAACTATTGACAGGTCTCGGTCACAAAAATTGAGGTTTGGAACTGGGTCACTGGGATCTCTCTCCCTCTGGACCCCAAATGGAATCTTATTTTTTATCCCGTTTTGATTCGAAAACTTGTTAATTCTAGTTCGGTCACGGAATCATGTCTAACTGAATTTCATGTAATTGTCACACGTCTACTTTGAATAAAAAAATATTTTTCAAAGAAGTTACCCTCACTGCTATAGTGCTATGTGTGAAGACTAATAGGAGTACATGATTGTGATTTAAACGCATTATATAGAGTTCAATAACAACGTTCAATGTTTAATTCCGAAAGAGTTAGCGGTTCGCTAACATCACGTTGGAGTTATTAAAAACAATATACACAAAAAGATAGAAAAATAGAATAAGGTCAATGCACATCCCGTAGAATCAGAATGGGGAGGGGGGAGCGGAGAAATTTTGGTATTACTAATACATTGTTGTACACAGGTAACATGATTCGCACACCTAGTGCTACCGTGTTAATACCTACATCCTTGTTGAATAACCTTAGTTTTCACGAATTCGAGAGACAAAAATATATGAAGACAATCAAATGATCTGCCTCTCAAACAATGGGGTGTTTCTATGAAGCTCTCATGAGATCACGCTAGATTTTCTGGTTTTCTAGGAATGAGCCATCCTTTTATGAAATTCTAGTTTTAGAAAATTAGAAAACTCGTGATAAACCCACAATTATGAGCTTTTTTTTATTTAGGATTTAGATTGGAATGAAAATGAAAAAATGGCCCCTATATTACTATTAGAGTTTTCATTTCCAAAAATATGACAAATTTTGCATTTTCCAAAAAAATGTCTCATTTAAAACATACGGAGGAATGAAATTCCTGTCGCCCCATCTTCCCCAATGAGTCTATCTCCATCTTCAGTGAAGCATCCAGCGGCGTAGCATCCATCAAGCGAACTCGGAACTCCACGTCGCCGGTCTCTCCATCGCTTGTCCCTGCATCACCACTGTCTACGAATCACATCACTCTACCATCTCCGACGCTTTCCACTCGCATCACCATTACCGCCTCCAGCTCTGTGACCACGGTTTACCGAGGACAACGACAATTTTGCTACCACCTTTAACTTTGTCTCTGCTCGCATGTCATCGTCATTATCTTCTTCTTCTTCTTCTTCTTCTTCTTCTTCTCTAATTTGTTTATTTTAATTAGTCCCAGATCTGGATCTCTCAGATCGTCTTCTTCGTGCAGCTAGGCAGTGGGGAACTGACGGGGTGGGGTGGTGAGGGTGGGTTAGTGGCACGGGCTGGGGAGAGAACTGAATCTGGTTTTGGCCGGGAAGGGGACTAGGCGGTGGTCACTTGATGAATAGGTGCAGCGGTAGTCATCAGACAATTTCAGGGTTGTCACTGTGATGGGGTTGATGGACTGTGGCTAGTCTGATAGGCATGAGTGGGGCTGTAGCGGCAACCAGTCACCAGACGGGGTGACAGTAGTCATTGGACAAGGCGGCGTTAGTCACTAGACGGGGTCACTGTGAGTCTGTGACCGGTGGACGGGCAGTCACTATGGTCGGAGACGGAGTGTCACTGTGAGCGGGCAGTCACTGTGACCGGTTGGGCAGTCACTGTGGCGGTGGGGCAGTCACTGTGGTGGTGGGACTTGTGGGTAGTCACTTGGCCGGAGTCACTTTGCATTGCAGAGGTTAATTGTGATGTTGATCACATTTTTGGAATTTTTAAAAACATCACTTTTTTGTCTTTTATTCTATTTTTAGTAATATCCAGACCAAAAGGCCAATGAAAATACAAAAAGAGTATTGGATTAGAAGGCCGTAATTGCAAAGCAAACTTATTGAAGGTAAAGGCACATCATCATAACTAGTCATGGAATCGGGTCGGGCTGCCCTGCCCGGAACCGATACTGTTTTGGCCCAGTCCGGCCCAGAACCGGTACTGTTTGGGCCCAGTCCGGCCCGGTACGCGGTTATAGGACCGGTCCGGGCCACCCGAACCCGAATTTGTCGGGTCGGGCTCGGGCCTCCTAAAAGTGGAACCGGCCCGGCCTATTTCTTTTTTTTTTTTTTTTGGTTTTTTCAATTTTTTTGGTTTCTCCCAGGTTGGTCTGGGTGTTTTTTTTTGGGGGGGGGGGGGGGGGGGGGGGAGGAGGTCGGGATTAATTAGAAAAGCAAAAGAAATTTAAAAAAAAAAACATGAACCAGCCCAGAACCGATGTCTACGCGGGCCGGTTCCGGTTCTTACTTCCCAAAAAAAGCCCGGCCAGGCCCGGCCCAGGTCCATGACTAATCATAACTAAAAAGCCATGTTGTAATTGAAGTCCAAGCTCAACCCTCATGGCCTCATGTGTCATGTGTGTATGCTCTCCTCGTCCCAAACTTAGATGGGAAGAGAGATTTACAAGGTCAAATGATGATAAAGTTCACTCTCATTTTTAAGTGTGTTGTAGTGATATACTAATTTGTATGCTTAGAAACTAGATTAAATGTTTTATTCAACGCAAAAACTAAATATAACAAATTTACACTCAAAATTAGAATATAAAATAGCATTTGGCTTACCAAAAAAGTAAAGTGAATGTTATTTCACTCAAAGTGTGTACACACTCCATTCGCACTGAGATCCGTGAGGAATCAAAAGACCCAAATTGGTTGCACATATTTGTTGGTAGTGGTCACAATTCGTGGAGGCAGGAAACAATGGCTTATTTACGAGAGTATCTAAACGTTTATAATCATACGAGATGTTTTACAAAAATAAGAGTCATATTTTGTACACACACCACCGTTCTTGTTCAGTTGTGTAAATCTATTCTTTTTCGTGCTGATGCATACTTCTATATGTGTGTGTTATCAAATTTAACACACGAGTCTCATTGATCCAAGATAATCTATGTTTGTGTGTCATATTAGTGTGCAAACATTAGCAGCTGGATGAATACATATAGATATTTTAAAACAAAAACAAATCCCATAAACTTGTTGAGTTGATTGGCACCAAGCCAATGAAATTCATTACACATTCATTCGTTCAACACACCGAACCTTGATATGATAACATCAAAAGTACATAACTGGGGTCTAAGATGACAAGACCTTAAGATTAACGGAAAGTAAAGTCGACAACAACATATTAATAATAGTATCACAGCTTAGCAAGGCTGTCCCACACAAAACTATAAACATTCCCCTGGAGGGAGTTATAATGCGCAAAGAGATGAGCAAATCGAACCTTGCACTAGTAGAGAGTTTCATTGATTTATTTAAGGGCTCTTTCCTTGAAGATATCGAGGCCCACCTCCGTTGAATCTGTTGCTTGTAGCTCCACCTGAATGCCATCCAACTCCTTCTTAAATCTCTCCTTGGAGCTGGCATACACCATCTTGTCCCTTACTCTGCTTGTCTCGGGTGTCCTTCACACAACAAACAAATAATACACCGGTGGACTAGTTAGTCTAGCTTAAAAATTAATGAAATCTCTATATGAAGGAAAGAAAGGTGCCTGCTGCTTTTCAACTCAAATGCTAGTTACCATGCAATAAAGAATATCCTGCTCTTTGGGACATTCTCCTTTGAAACGAAGTCATAGTCATAAACTGCATAACGGGATTCATTAGCAGGCAGATTCTGAATGAATTCGTCATAGCTCTCACCCGGATCACCGAGTTTTTCCACGACTATTTGTTTTTCTTCAATTTTATATACTATATACCGGTGAGTCCTCTTTCCCTTCAACTCCAAAAATTTCAGTTTGCAGTCATCATGGACAGCCATGCCTGATGCAGCATTTGCCTGGTGCATAATAATAAAAAGCATTCATGTCTTAGTGCATGGTGCACAAGGGTATGATATACATTTCATATAAATACAGAAGTATCTACTGAGCTAGAACAAGTATCTAGAATATAAACTGAAAAAAAAAAATGGTCCAAGATGCTGAAACCACA